TCTCAGTATATATATATATATATATATATATATATATATAATACGAATGACTATCTAAAGTATGTATTTTTAGGAGTTTTGCTCTGACGATAAAGTTTTTAGGAGTTCTTTCAATTTCATATCTAATTTAATTTTTATTTATCATAATTATTTATGAATTAAATTGTAATATTTTAAAATAAATTATATATAAATAAGTAAAATTATACTACAATATAAATTATTTATCATAAATCAAAAATATAATTTGTATATTTAAATTATTCAAATTTTAAATATAATATATATATTTAAACATAATATTTATATATATATATATATATGTATAGTTTATTTTAAATTTTAATTATATATAATAAACATTTAATTTGTATATTGCACAGACTAAAACATTAGTCCGGTATATTATACATAACGGCTATTTTGCAATAGGGTATTTTTAAGGAACTAGTGTTAGAATATAAACATTAGGGGGGCTTTTAATACATAGAATGATTTTACTTTCATAAGAATTTTAAATCTAGAATCTTGGTTCCCAGGTTTGGTAGTTATTAAAAAAATCTCAAGAATATAGTTTTATGAGAATCATTTTTATCTCACTTTCACATAAAAATATTCTCAGAGGGAGGTGGGAATCTAACTTTCCCGAGTTAAGAGACAAGTTTTGTGTATATAAAAAGATCACAGTATCTATTTTTAAAACAAAAAATATTTTTTTTTCTCTCCTTCTATTTCTTTTTCTCCCTCTCTTTCTCTTTCTCTTTCTCTCTCACTCTCTCTCCCCCTCTCTTTTCCTTTTACATCTCCCTCTCTCTTGGTCTTTTTTCCCCTCTCCTTCTCTCTTCTTCTATTTCTCTTTCTCGCTCTCCCATTCTCCCCCTCCCCCTCCCTTTTTTCTCTCCCTCCCCCTCCTCTCTTTCTCTCCCGTATTCCTATTTCTCTATCTTTCTTGTATCTCATTATTTCTTGACTTTGTTAATTTTAATAATACTATTAAAGTATATTTTGTTTCTAGATTTTAATGATATCACTACAATAAATGTTACATATGGTGACATACAAAAAGTGTCACTATAGGTACAATATATGTAGGTATATATTTATTTGACATATAGCTACATACAATTTTAGTATTGATTTTGAATTAGATTTAACAACATATTTTGTGTGTCACTCTAACCTATACTGTAACACCTGATTTTTTATACTTTATATAAATAAGTTTTGAAATTATTTTGATATTTAATATAGTTATTTTAGAGTTTTGATATTATTTAATTAGTTATATGAACTCTATTTTATTTATGAGACATGACTTTTAATTATTATTTTGATTAGTAATACATTAGTAAATTTATGAAATGTATTTTATTAATGGATATGCTCATGTTTTTATTAAAGGGAGAGTTATGTTTTAATTATTAGTAATTATATTATGAGGTGAGGAAGGAAGGACATTTTAGTAAAATGTATTTTACTATTAATTATTTTATTATTTTAATAAAGAAGGTTATCAGGAGTCAGTAAGTTACTAGTTTCACGCTTCTCACTTTTTTTCCTTTTTACGCTTATGAAGAACAAGAAGAGCTCCAAGAAGAGGACCAACCTAATTTCGTTCGTGCTTCATCTTCTACTCATCAAGGTAAGGGGGAGTGAGAAACCTCACTCGGGGGCATGGGAATAATTGTTGGGTAGTCGGATTAACCCCCAATCCTTTGCCTGATGTATGCATACAAGAACAAACACTTTATAAAAGTTTCCTATTTTGCTTTTTGACTATTCTTTTGCGTTCCTCGTATGATTCTAAGTATGAATATGTGTTTGATTTTGAAAATAGATAAGATTTGATAATAATTAGAATGTTTTGTGGGTTCTTGTGGGATACGCTATGATGAACAATTAAGGACATGATCTTTTGATGAAAATCTTTATGTGCATGACCTTATGGGATGATTATGAAGATGTTGTGACAAGTGATATGAGATATGGTGAGACATGATAAGTGAAATGTTGAGTCAATGAAATAGTGAATATGTGACATGCATCATGTGTATATATGACTCTAGGTGTGCCGCTTAGGCCGTATGCTAGTGATGTATTGAGTTATTCTAGGTGTACCGCTTAGGCCGCATGCTAGTGATGAAATGAGATACTCTAGGTATGCTGCTTAGGCTACATGTCAGTGATGAAATGAGCTATTCCAAGTGTGCCGCTTAGGCCGTATACTAGTGATGTATTGAGCTATTCCAGGTGTACCTTGGGTCACTAGTAATGTATTGAGCTATTCTAGGTGTGTCACTTAGGTCGCATGCTAGAGATGTATTAAGCTACTCCAGGTGTACCTTGGGTCACTAGTGATGTATTGAGCTATTCCAGGTGTGTCACTTAGGTCGCATGCCAGAGATGTATTGAACTATTCCAAGTGTACCTTGGGTCACCAATGATGTATTTATGAATAAACGTGCCCCGAGTATGTTGTTGTAGCAACATGCTAGTGATGAAAAATGTGCAACTTCCGTATAGCGCCACATGCATGCATTTATGAGTTAAGTTCATGACATTATTGCATGATAAGTTAATGTGCATCTATTCTAATGTATTTATAACTTAAGAGTTGTGCTTGGTTATGTGTAACTTGTGTAGTATTTGTTATAAGTGTGTGTGTTACCTAACATTTATTTCTACATCTGAACTAGAGTGAGATGTTTCTCACTCCCTTGTTGCTTTATGTGTTTTTTTTATTGTGTTGCAGGTGATCATTACCATGAAGATGTTGGTGATGAGAATTAAGTCTCATTGTGGGGTGTGCTCTGATAGGACATGTGACATTGGGCCTTAGTTAGGATTAATTTAGAATGTTACTCTTGTTAAATTGCTTAGAAGACCTTGATTTTATTTTTTTGTAATTTCCGCATTAAACTATGGTTTATGATTTATGAATGTGAGCTTTTTACCCTTATGTCTGTCGCAACCCAAAAATTTCCGATCTTGCGACCTATGGTTTAAACATCCTTTTAAAGATCTCATCAATTAAGGAATGCCCGGACACCAGACTAATCCTTAATTAATGGTTTTGAAAATAGGTTCTATGGAGTTGCCACCAATGTTTTACTCAAAACATTGGAAAAAGAAAAGGTTTTTTAAAGTCCAATAATGGCCTTGATAACCAAAATTGGGTTCGGGGGTCGGTTACGGATTGTAGGGAAGGTATTAAGAACCCCTACAATGCCTTCAATTGGTACCCTATGATGAAGTTAATGTGCTAAAATAATAATAAATTAAATATTAGATCCCCTTTATGAATTACTATTTACATGCTTGAAATTTAAATTACACGATTGACCCTAAAACGTCTACATGATTGCTCTTGTTATAAAAAAAATAAGAAGTAAAAGAAAGAGAAGAAGATTAAATGAAATACCTCGTGACAAGCTTTGTTAAATCTTCAAATATGAAAAATATAGGTGCTTTGCGGCAACCTTTCACACAACAATGCCTCACAAAATCTCAAGAAATACAAAAGAGAGGGGGAGAGAGAAAAAGAGAGAAATTTCCTACTCTAAGGAGTCTGGACGAAATTTTGGAGTCCCTCAGAAATGTGCCCAAGCTGTC